AACTCCGCAAATATTCACGGAGCATATGCTTGGGCCAGGGGCTCTTGGGGTGCAGACAAGAGACTGCAGTCCTTGCTCTGAAGGAGCACACAGTCGAGAAGTAGACACTGAGACCACAGCACGTGAAAGTGAAAACCACGTTAGTGATAAGGGTCACTAAACCAGGATGAGTCTGGTGGTCCAGGAGCTTGGAGCAGTTCCTGCCGAGTGGGGCAGGGGTGTGAGTTTGTGTGGAAAGGGGCCACTGAATGAGGGAGGGCTTATTTATCTCTACTTAATGTTGTTCTAAAAAGGAGGAGGCAGGGGAAATCCTTTGAAGCTTCACAAAGATGCTAGAACTTGGGCAGGGAAAACGTCAATACAATAAAGGGGAAGTGGATGGAGATCAGGTCGGAAAGGGAGAGGGAGCCCCAGGACCTTGGGCTGCAAGAGATCTACAGTCATCCTGGTCTCACGGCGGGGGTGGGGGGGGCAGTGTCCTCCTTTTTTGACCTGCACACACCTCTAGGGGCTGGGAACTCACTAGTATCTTAAGACAGCTTTTCTTATCTCCTGACCACCCTATTAGAACTTTCTCCCCATGTACAGGGTAGTTTCTGGATCACTGACCTAGCGAACCACATGCATAAGTAGAGAGAGTTACCCTATTGTGTGTTGGGGGGGGGGGGGCGGCAACAGCCACTTCTCCTGCCCCATCTCTTCCAGTTCCTACCACCACGCCTTCCCTGTCCCAGCTCAGCGCCTCCTCATCCACCCACGCTCAGAGCCTCCTCATCCACCCATGCCCTGCTCTGGCTACACTCCCACCCACTGGCCTGTCTGTAAGGTGGTACAAGCAGTCCTAGGCTCTGGACATTTTTCTCTGCACAAGGGCCGTGGAGTGGCTACAGAGACACTCAGGCTGCCGGGGTCTGTGATACCGATTCATAGGGAAGAACCCAGGCTGCTGTCTCTGGAGAAGCAAGACTATGTATAGGTCCCAAAGAGACCGAATGAACTCCTGAGACATTAAGCAGGGGGAGGGTGGAGTACGGAATGACCACTGTGAATAAAACAAGCGCAAGGAGAGGATGAGGCAGGTTGCAAGTCCAGGGCCCGGCCCTGCAGAGGTCACAGAGAAGGGTGGAG